AGGCCGAGCTTTTGCAGGACAAATTGGACTAACTTTTGCTATTTTTTCTATCAATTCTTTGAGCTTTCTTCACCTCTCACAGAGGCGTAATTTGGGATATTATTTGGCCAAAAATTTAGCAGTAAGAATCCCAAGGCTCAAAAGGGCCTAAACATCTCTGTAAAAGGCAAGCTTGGAGAACTGAGATCATCGATGGATGTTGGGAAATTGCAGAACAATGACCTTAGATTTATTCTCCAGAGAAGTTTAGATCAAACTGCAGAAAAGCATGTGATTTTCCTTTCCTAAATCGGAGCCAATAGCTCCAATTTAGAGAATCTTATGTCTATATGGCCTTTCCAGGGATGTTAGGAGCCAATGTTGAAACTGTACTTTAAAGAGCACCAAAGTTAAAATTCACAAGCTAGGGAACAACTTGTTTTCACAGCAATGAGAGCTGGCATGGCAAACACTTCTCAGTGGTGACTTACATACTTATTCAGTGATTTAGACTGCTTCTCTGGCACGGGTCAAATGGCATATTAACATGGGATATAATCCTTTCTCACTCTGTAGGCAATGGCTCAGTGTGATATTGGCACCGTATTAAGCTTCATTAACCCTACAACACGTTGCCTCCTTACTCTTGGCACTCTCCTGCAGGCTGCAGGCAGTAACCCATGAGTAATCTGATTACCTACAACCGACTGTAGCCGCATGGAATGGAGGCTGACTACAGAGTGGAACACAATTACAGTCTTTTGAGATTCAATTAGAAAGCTGTTGGTAGAGCTTCGTTCAGAATTCTGTAACTGTCTCCAATAACCCCTCGTGAACTGCACGTTTCTTTAAGAGCCCACAGTAAACAATGAACTTAAAAAGCTTCACCTGTTCTTCACATGCCTTTTTAGAATTTGTCCTCCTGAAGTGCATAATAAATCAGCTCGGCAGTTAGAAACAACAATAACTATTTCCACAGACTCCACATTGGCTTTCTTTTTGCCTTATCCAAAGGGAAAATATTATTTTTCTCCTCCATAGAATTACTCTGACTTTAGTCTTCTTTGTGAATGGACATTAAAAATAAATGCTACTTAGCATGGAGGTAAACATTATCAAGGGCTAATTGTCCTTTAAATAAAACGTGAGGTTAAGAAAAATTAAACTTCACATTTGGAAGACCAAAATTAAGACAAGGATGTGCTAGACTGGATTATGTCATTCTGTGACATCTCGCAAACATCAATTATGCTAGATATACATATCCATAAGATGTCATTCTTTGCTTGCTGGTGGTCTGAATTTCTAATTGCGCATTTAAAATGAAGTGGTTTTAAAATGCACTGCTGGAAGAAACAACACATTAGTTAGAAGATGTTTTGAGTATATTAAAATGTATTTAGTAATTGATTGTTTACTGTATTATTTTTGCCCCCAAACTTACCTCATCTTGCTTATTTATTGTGGGATTTGCTTTTTCTATTCTGAGATTTAGAGAAGAAATATGAATTTTGGAGACAGACTTGAGCTTGAATCCTGGCTTTGCTATAATTTATGAGATCTTCAAAAGTTACTTAATTTTTTTGAACCTCAGTTTTCTCTTTTTTGAAAAAGGGAATAAAAATATCTTCTGGCAGTGTTGTTGCAGTGATTAACTAACAGCACATGATGAAGGGAATGGCATAGGGCTTGGGGTATAGTAAACACTCAACACATGTGCTTTTCTTTCTTACTCAATTTCTAGATCTCACTGGAAACTTCATCTGCTTGTTATGAATTCATATCTTTGTTTTTATCACTATGTATAACAATTGTCTGGTTTCATGATATAAGCTCTATTTTTATGTCACAAAACTAAAGGAATCATCACTAATTATTAAAATGCATTACTTGTAGGCATTTGAGTCCCTGAGTTTCAATAAGTGGTGTTTGAGTTTGAGTAAATATATTTTCTTTTGTCCTTTCTTCAAAGAAAATTTGAATACACAATCAGTTCATTAGATTCAACCAAGTTCCAAAAAACTCAAGCTAACACTTAAGACTAAATCCAGTTCCTTGACCTCTGTGAAGTGAATGCATAAAGAGTCTCATAATGTAAGCATTTTCAAATTAGAAAGTTGGGTGGTTACAAATGCTCAGAGCATATGGAAGTCTCTCCGCTTGACTTGTTGAGTAAACAGCTTATAAACTGCTGAATGTTAAACACTTTCTTGATATTGACAAGGTATGACTGAGGAAATCACTTTCCCCCCTTGATTCTGTAGATTACCATGTGTCCGGTGAATCCCCACTGGCACTGGCTCCAATTGCAGGACTAGTATGCCTTTGACAACCACCGGTGGGGGAGGCCGTGTCACCCATTAGCATCCATGAATCAGATGGCTTAGTTAGGTCCAGTCATCACTTACAATAATTTAATCAGACTTGCATTTATCTATTTCGTAGTCCAATGTGACACACTTCATTTTATCATTATTCGTGATGAGTCACTTCGTGTCAACTGGTCAAGCTTGGCATTCATTATTAATCACCAAGGTTTTAGGGACAATTTTCCAAAGTTTGCCAACATATTTTGCTAGATTTTTATTATTGTAATTAACTATAGCTGGGTTATTAATACCAGAAAGCAAATGGAGCCCTGAGATTACAAAGTGGCTTGTCTCAATCTGAACTACTTTTCAAAAAATAATCCTAAAAGCAGTGCTGGCTACATCACCAGGCGTGGACGTGGCTGGAAGGGCAGAAAGCTGGTGTATGTTAGTTTCTTTATTTTTTATTTTTGTTTTTCATTTGACCCTTAGGCGTGTCCATATCACCAGCGGGAAATCTTGATCAATAATAGTCCCGATGAAGGAAATGGAAGGTCTTACCGGGTTGGTTTCAACTTTTAAGCATCGGATAAAATAACTCTTAAAAAAAGTACAGAAACTCAATTTGTAGATTGTTTGGTCAATACTGTTCATGAGTCTTCTGAAAGTATTACCACTCTTTTCTTTCTGTTTTGGCTCTAAGCCTGGAGTAAAATAATCAACAGGGGAACTAAGCTTGGCAACAAATTGTGATTCTCATTTTTTCTCATATTTTTTTCCTGTTTTTATCTATTCCCTCCGTAGCTAAGACTCTATTACCACTGCCTGAGTTAATAGATTTCATACTTTTCTTTCTGTCTCCAGAATCTTTTCCTTCCTACCCATCCTGATTACTCCTGTCAATGCATTTTTCTCTTTTCATGTTGATCTCCTTCAAAAATGCCACCAGCAGCCTCCACTTGTCTGTTCTTGTTCTTAAGCCAATCTCAGTCAATTTTTATGTTTCCTTCACTCCGTGAACTGACTCTAAAAATATTGATAAATAATACAGATTTTACTGGAGCTTTGTTTCATAAAGAGAGAATGTAAAGTTACAAGGAACGCATATTGTCAAATGGCCCCAAATGCCCTCTGAGCACCTTTGTTCTTCTCCCATCGTTCCTCTTTTCCCAGGGACTGCCTCATCCTTTCCTTTTCTTTTTTAGAAAACATTGTCTCTTCTCCCATTACATTCTCACTTCTTTCTCTGGCTCAGCAAAGCAAAGCATCTGCCTCAGCATCCATGCTGAGTGGGGATGGGGATACCAGTGGAGGTATAAACAAAGTATCATTTCTTTGTGAGTCACATGTGCATTATTTCACTTAATCTTCACAACCCTCCAAAGGAAGAAATGGAGCATGGGAAAGGTTCAGTACCCAAAATCAAAATTAAGGGGCAGAGCTCAGATAGACACCAGCTCAGGCTGATTCTGAAGTCTTTGTCATTGTTATCAAACCAGCATAAGAGGTAATTTTAGGCAATGGTTAAGCTGACTTTTAGATATTTTGGTAATTACATATTTATTGTAATACGTATTTAAAAAATCTAGTATAGCAAACGTGATTTACAGATACTGTGGCTTAGTTTAACAAAAACAAGTGAGTTGATTCAAAGTTGTTTTGACATAAATTATTAATTAAATAATAGTACTGGTGGCCTATGGATGTGGAAAAAATTGTGAGGATGCTATTCAACGGAATAAAGTTGAGGAAATACTATCTAACTATATTACGTTATAGTTGTGACAACCGCTTTCTGAAAGTCTCCATACCATATTTAATTTGAATAGACTCTGTGCTTCTGTGCTACCTTCTCCATCTAAAATGTCCACCTTACCCCATCTCTTCTTGCTGAAATCCAGTTTAAGTGGCACTCCCTTCACACAACCTTTCCCAGCTGACCCTCTTCTGAAGATCTTCATTCATACACTGTCATGGCACTGAGTAGAGTATACTCTTTTTTGAGGCTATTTGTTGATGTGTTTGTTCCCTTCTATTCAGGAACTTCCTCATTTACATGGCTTCCTTTCCCATAGCACTTGGCTTAAACATAGGCACCCAGTAGAAAGGTGCCATAAGGAGGCAGTCAAGAAGACTGGGTTCAAATCCCACCACCAGCAACTTACTAGGTATGGGATCCAGGACAAACAAAATTTGGATTTCTGTGAGGATTATATAGCATAGTATATGAATGTAACAGAAATATTGTATCTTGTCAGAGAGTCAATATACATTAGTGTTTTTTGTTTTTACCTCCAATAAGTATTTTCTGAATAAATAAAAAATGTACAGAAAAGATTGACACAAAAATTGTGTTAATTTATTTAAACTTCACCCCTACTTGTTACAGGCTTTTGCATATAACTTGGATATTACTCAGATAAACAATATTCAACAAAAGTATCCATTTGCCCAAATGATCATAAAGTTTATTTTAGTTAGGGCTTGTTTGGAAGCATGTGATTAAATGCCAACTCAAACTATTGTGAAAAAAAGAAATCTTTAAAAAGTTGAGAGAGATAGAGAATGAAGATTCATTGTCTCAAGAAACTACAAAGTCCCAGGGTTAGGATTTGGTTCAGACATAGCTGGATCTAGGGTGCACAGGTAATGTCACTAGGGCTCTGTCTGTCTCTCTCCTTCCCTTGTTTCCCTCTGTGTTGGCTTCGTTCTTAGACATTTTGTCTCCAAGTGGATACCAGGAAGGCCTTAAGCAGCACTGGGCTTACCTAGCCCTTTCAACTAGTATCCTTAGGTGGTTGCCTCACTACCAGCAGGTGTATCAGTCCCCAAGGACTCTTTCTGGCCTTTACTGAGTTACATGCCCACCCCTGAAACAATCACTATGTCCAGCATGTTGGATCACCCTGATTGCCTCCCTGGCCCAGGGTTTGGTGGAAGAGGAAGAGACTCTGATTGACAGCTCCACCAATTCCAGAAGGAGAAGGATATAGGACAGATACTAAATAACAGATACTCTGTCTAAAGCAAAGTGGGGTAGAATGAACAGAAGCATTCTGGGACTGGTGTAACAGATGTTCTTGGTGCCTCACTCACATTCCTTCAGTATTCACTGTTCCAGTAACAGGCTGACAGCATCCTACAGTGTGTAACTTTACCTCTACCTAAGGGGCTTTTTGTGGCGTGGTCAATATATAAGGCAAGTGGGCAGTGAGGGGGAGTTAATGTCCCTGGAAGTATCCCTCAACCAATGATAAGCAAAGAGCTGGTGGATACATACCCCAGCTCCCTCTCTCCTCTGTTGTAATATCTTGGAGACATGTTTTTCACTGTCTCCCAGAATTCCCTACTATGATTGGATGCTATTTGCCATAGTAGTAACCCACTTGATAACACATCATTTATTGGCTTCTTTCCCTTCCCTAGCTCACTTCTCCATTTCCCTTCTCCCTAGGATAACCTCCTACATTAATGACTTATGCTTACCTCATGATCTTGGAGTCTGCCTCTGGGGGAATCCAGCCCCCACCCCCCAAAAAAAAACTAGTAAGAAATTTCTAGTCAATTCCAAGTTTTCTGGGTAGAATTTGCTCATTGCAATTAATTTCATGAAGTCTGAATAATTACATTGCAATGGTTATTATATTTGTCTGTGATAAGTGAAAATAGGAAAAAACCCTCTAGATAAGTGAACATCATAATGAAGGCTGAGAACACATTACATGGGATACAGGTGAGGAGCGGTACTGTTATGATTTTTTTCTCATCTTTTCTTCCAATTGAAAATTTCTGCCTTTGCTGTCATTTTAAAATATCTGAGACCCATGAAAGCATTTTAGACTGGGTTTGAAAATACTTGGCTCAAATATAAGCTCAGTTTTCAAATCTGATGCAAGAGAAACACAATTACTTTCATCATTCTAACCTATCATTTGACACCACAGTTTACCCTTTGATCCAATAAATTTTTGTAAGTTAGATGCATGGAAATATAAAGAAGATAAATTCACACCTGTGTATTCAGTAAATACAGTGAATTTCTTGTTGTTATCAACTGTGGGGTTATAAGACATAGAGAACATAGTTTCAATTCTCAAGAGAAGGTTAATCTAGTGGCAGGAGACAATTCAATGAATAAAGAGAATGCAGGGAATCTGACAAGTTGTGTGAAGCTTAGTATAAGCAAACACGCTTTTGGAGTATGGAAAATGGAAAATAAAGATAGTCAAGAAGGCAGGACCAACATGAAAACAGAATAATGGCAAAAACGTATATGTTCTAGCAGACACTAAATTGATCAGTTTAGACAACAAGGCTTAATTAAGAATGATCTTTTCCAGATGTCCCTTACTCATGCAATTTGCATATTGGGGATTTTGAAATGTTGCTTTTCCATCATTTGCATTTGGGTGCTGGGAAGGGATGAAGGCGGAGTGAGGTTGAAGGAATAATTCATGCCAAGTGTTTTGGGGAAATACATGAGGTTAGTGACCTCACTTGTAGCTCCTTCTAGGTCCTCTTTGTAAGTTTTTCTTCTTCTGAGAAGAGAGTTTTCTCAGAAGAATGAGTTTATACAACTGCTTAATCAAAATCTCCACTTCAATGTGTAATAGACACCTTAAATTTAATTTGTCTAAAACTGAGCTTCTCTTTTTTTCCCATAAAACTTACTCTACCTGTAGCCTTTTTTATCTCAGTTGGTGGCAACACATCCTTCCAGTTGCTCAGTCCAAAAACCTTGGAGTCATTCTAAAATGTTCTTTTCTCTCATAACCACATATTCAATCCAATGTAAAATCCTGTTGGCTCTGCCTTTAAGATGTGTACAGACCACTTCTCACTACTTCTATTGCTACCATCCAGGTCCAAGCCATCATCATTATTCTCCTGGAGATTGCATTAGCTGGTTTGCAGTCTCTTATCCTTGTTTTACCTTGAGACTATTTGTGATCCTCATTGTCACTCCTCTGCTCAAACCCTGCAATGGCTCTCCCATTTCGCCCAGAGTAAAATCGAAGGCTCAGAGTGGACTACAGGGCCCCATGTGATTTGGTCACCTGTCACCTCTCTGACCCCTCTCCTACAGGTCTTCCCTTGACCAGTCTGCTCCAGAGCATGACCTCCTTGCCATGCCCAGAGCCTGACCAGCCCTATTCTGCTTTAGAACTTTTACTCATGCTATTTGTTCTGCCTTTCGTGTTCTTACTCCAAGTATTTGTTTGACTTAGTGTCTCACCTCCTTCAGCTCCTCGCTCAAATATTTCTTCTTCCAGGAGGCCCTGATCACCTATTAAACCCGTTGCAATCTGTACCACCCCAACCAAACAACATTCTGATTCCTCTTGTCTACATTTTCCTACATTACCTCTCCATTTTACTTTTTCCTATGTTACCACTTACCTACATTACTCCTGTATTATCTTCCCTTCCTGGTACTTATCAACTTCTAACATACTATATCATTTACTTTTTAATCACATGTATTGTTCATTATCTATCTTTACTTGATGGCATATAAACTACATGCAGGCAGAGCTCTCTGCCCATCTTATTCTCTGATGCTTCTTGTATTAGTTCTCTATTGTTGAGAAACAAATTACTAACAAACATAGTGGCTTAAAACAGTGCAAATTTATTAGCTCACAGTTCTCTATAGGTCAGAAGTCTGACGTGGTTCAGCTGGGTACTCTGCCTAGGGTCTCACAGGCTGACTTCAGGTGTTGGCCTAGCTGGACTCTTATCTGGAGGCCCTGAGGAAGAATCCACTTTCAAGCTCATTCACCTTTTGGCAGAATTCAGTTCCTTACAGTTGTAGAGCTGAGGTCTCCCTTATTCTCTGGCTATCGGCCAGAGTCCCTGCTTTCAGCTCAAAAAGGCCCAAAAATCTTCCTGCAGTGCTTTTCTCATATGGCCCTCCATCTTCCAACCTGCAATGGCACATTATATCCTTCTTATGCTTCAAATCCCTCTGATTTCCCCTTCTGCCCCTACTTCTGCTTTTAAGAGCCCCTGTGATTCTATCGGGCCCGCTTGGATAATCTAAAATCATCTTCCTATCGTAAGGTCCGGTTATTAGTAACCTTGATTGCATCTGCGTAGTTCCTTTTGCCATATAATGTAACATATTCACAAGAGTAACCACGGAGAGTACAGGTCATTGGGGCTGAAATTCTGCCTACTACACTTGCCAAGCACCAGGAATTATGCCTTTCTGGCACATAGTGCAGATAAATGATCATGTGGCAGTGAACGCCTGAGCTAGAGGTTTTGTTTGCAGGAAGTTGGTTATTTGCCCTTTCCATTTGGGAGAAAAGTTTCCAAATCCTTCCAATTTGAGCGTATTGAGATGTGAAAAATCACTTGTGTTTGTTTTGATCCTTGAAGGAGGAAGAATCAGGAAATGAGAGAGGGAGAAGGTGAGAGGAAAAGATGAAGAGCCAGGGAGGGATTAAGGTTGGGCCAGAGTAAGAGAATGCCAAGGCTGTGTGCATGGGAGCCTCTGACTTTCTTTTTCACACAAACTGAAAGCAGAGATTTTTCACCTTTGTTAATGTTGTCAGTCCCAAGACTCTCACTCTTGTGTGCCAGATGTGGTTTTTCAGGATCTTAGAGCTGTAATTGTTTAACAGACCAGACCCCCTTAGAAGTTTGCTTGTACCTACAGACTCACATTCTGCCTGTAACAGGAGTTCTGGTAGATGCAGCAAGTTCTCAAGAGCGACCAGGGACTGGGAGGCTTGGAGTGGAATTCATGACTTTTTCTCCTTCTTGGCAATGACGTAGTATCATTTTTATCTTTATTACATTAAAACACAAGATATTTGAACTAAAATATGAGAAATTACTTCATTTCCTACACGAACTCTTAAACTCCACAGGGAAATTGATTTGGTAATTATGATAGTGTTTAAATATCAGAAACCTTTAGATTAATTGAAAACAAAAAATTAGTCATTTGTCAGCCTTGTGTCTTGCTTTACTCAACCATGAATATGCTGCCAGTTTAGAACTTTTCTCCTCTTCTCCAGAGTGAACTCTCAGAGTTCACATTTTAAGTATAGAGGTCCAGCGGGCCAGTCTTTTCCTTTAGCATTCACACTTGACTCTTTTAACCGGCTGACTGGGAGAATCCTTTCCCTCGTTGAGATGACAGCTTTGAGTACCCTCCAGAAGTATCATTCTACATGGCCCTTCACTTCCCGATGAAGTTATACTAGGAAAAAGAAATTATTCTAGAAAAATTGCTAAAAAGGAATTTGCCCTCTAATTTTGTCATTTCTTCCACTAGCTCTTCTTCATCTAGTCATTCAACAAACTTGTGTTGAATGTTCTCTTACATGACAGACATGGGCTATGCTTTGGAGAGACAGATCTGGGAACAAGTTCAAATGGTTCAAATTAGTTGACTGAATTCTGATGGAGAGTTGGCTGGGCATGGGAAGGGGAAAAAATGGTTTGGGGGAGCTAGTGGGGGAAATCTGTCACCTAGAGCAAGGGTGGCAAACTATAGTCTGTATATGGATTGCAAGTTAAGAATGATTTTACATTTTTAAATAGTTGGAAAATATCAAAGGAATAATAAAATATTTGTGATACATGAAAATTATACGATATTCAAATTTCAGTGTCCATAAATAAAGTTTTATTGGAACACAGTAATGGTCATTCATTTCATATTGTCTACATCTATACTGATAGAGTTGAGTAGTTGCAACAGAGACAGG